GGTGAGAGAGAGGTATGTCATAAAACATCTAGAGAGGAGAGCCACTACATTTGGCAATGAAGAGATGATTGGTGACTTTGGAGAGAACAGTTTCAGTTGTGTGGTGTGGTTGAGTCTGTGAGCATAAACAGCTTTTTTTTAGGAATGTGGTTGAGAAAGGAAGAAGAGATATGGGATGGTAGGATCTAGTGAAGTTTTTTGTTGTTTTTAAAGGATGGGGGAAATGGCATATCTGAAGGCAGTATATAGAGAGGAAAACAGTAGAAAGGAAGAGGCTGAAGATTGGAAATGAAAGGGAGTGATTAAGGTTCCTTTCTGCTCAAGAAGACAGGAGATGAGATCAAGTGCATATATGAAGAGATTGGCTTAGGAAATAAAGGCCACCTCTTTGTCAGATGCTGAAGAAAGGACTGAGTGAGAGATGATGTCAAGGGGTTTTGAGATAAAGAAAATGGGAGAAGAGGGATCTTGTTGAATGGCCTGGTTTTTGTTTGTTTGTTTTTAACAAGATCCTCTGCTGAGGGTATGTCGTTTTTATACACAACACCATACTATTGTTCTCTTTTTTTTAATTAACAAGAGTTCTATTTCTTCTCTCATTCTATTATTTTCTTTTATTTCAGCTTGGGCTAATGGTTAGTCAAGGATCAACTCCTTCCTGGACAACCCCCTTTCTCCCAACATCCGAGAAATATTTTGGGACTTTTGAGTTCTCTACTTTTGGGTTATAGTATTAGAGAAATGAATTTGAGGGCATTTTTTTCCTTAATAGTATTTTATTTTTTTTCTAATTACATGTTCAACATTTATTTTTGTAAGTTTTTGAGTTCCAAATTTTTCTCCCTTCCCCCTCCCCAAGACAACAAGCAATCTGATACAGGTTATATGTGTACAATCATGTTAAACATATTTCCACAATAGTCATGTTGTGAAAGAAGAATCAGAACAAAAAGGAAAAACCACAAGAAAGAGAAACCAAAAACCAAAAAAACTGAAAATAGTATGCTTCAATCTGCATTCAGACTCCATCGTTCTTTCTCTGGATGTGGTTAGCATTTTCCAGTTTTTTTTGGAATTGTCTTGGACCATTGTATTACTGAGAAGAGCTAAGTCTGTCATAGTTGATCATCACACAATGTTGCTGTAACTGTGTACGATGTTTTCCTGCTTCTGCTTACTTCACTCAGCATCAGTTCACACAAGTCTTTCCAGGTTTTTCTGAAATCTGCCTGCTCATCATTTCTTTTTTTCTTTTTAGGAATTAAAAAAAAATCCACTCAATATTATTTTATTCGTTTCCAATTACATGTAAAGATATTTTCAACATTCACTTTTATAAGATTCTGAGTTCCAAATGTTTTTCTCCCTTCCTCCACTCCCCGAGATGGCAATCTGATATAGGTTATACATGTACAATCATATTAAACAGATTTCCACTTTAGTCACGTTGTGAAAAAAGAATCAGAACAAAAGGGGAAAACCTTGAGAATGAAAAACAGAAAAAACAAGCAAACAACAACAAAATAGTTCGCTTCGATCTGCATTCAGACTCCATAGTTCTTTCTCTAGACACGGATAGCATTTTCCATCATGAGTCTTTTGGAATTATCTTACATCACCGAATTGCTGAGAAGAGCTAAGTCTATCAAAGTTGGTCCTCAAATAATGTTGTTGTTACTGTGTACAATGTTCTCCAAGTTCTGCTCACTTCACTCAGCATCAGTTCATGCAAGTCTTTCCAGATTTTTCTGAAGTCTGCCTGCTTACCATTTCTTATAGCACAATAGCATTCCATTACATTCACATACTACAACTTGTCCAGCCATTCCCCAATTGACAGGCATCCCCTCAATTTCCAATTCTTAGCCACCACAAAAAGAGCTGCTATAAATATTTTTGTATATGTGGGTCCTTTCTCCTTTTTTTTTTTTAATCACCTCTTTGGGATACAGACCTAGTAGTTGTATTGCTGGATCAAAGTGTATGCACAGTTTTATAGCCTCTTGGGCATAGTTCCAAACTGCTCTCCAGAATGGTTTGATTAGTTCACAACTCCACCAACAATGCATTAGTGTTCCAATTTTCCCACGTCTTTTGAGGGCATTTTCAACGAGGGAATGCAGGAAAGATGCTTTATTGTCATCATTATTGTAACCCTATCACTACTAAGAAAGCCTTAAGAAATGCAGCACTTCCCCCAAATTGGGACTTAACATATTAAAATCATTGTGCATCATACTGTTCATACAGATAAGAAAAGTTATAGACATCTCACACTTAGTAAAAAGTTTTTTATATTTTAATTTATATTTTAATATAAGCATTTGGAATTCTGATTATGAATTTACAAATATTCTGGATTTTTCATGGAGGCCAAATTCAAATTCTAGCACTTCCCTTACTTATTGGAGTGACCACAGTCAAGTCACCGGGCATCACTTTATCTTTAAAAATGATAAGAGCTGGACTAAATGATACTAAGGTCATTCTAAAGCACTCCCTGCCCCCAAGCCCCATCCAAAGCCAAGGAAAACATTTTAATTACACAAATACATGAATGATGATGGATGATATCAACTTGTTGCTTCTCCCACAGCACATTCCAGACCTAGTGTGGTACAGTTAAAAAGAGCAGTGGTTCTGGGGTAAGATGTCCTTCAAATCTCTCCACTTAAGTTTATTCCAAGTTTGACCTTGCAAGTCACTTAACCTAGTAGGTCCTGATTTCCCACTCTCCAAAGCGAGGGAGTTGAACCAGATGGCTTCTGGGTGTGGTCCTTTCCCCTTCCTAAGTCCCTACTCTCTTTGAATTTTTGAGTCTTTCACGTCTCAAATTGTAATGTGAGAAAGGATGATATTCAAGTCTTTGGGTCGTCCCCCGCCCGCCAAGGGCAGTGAGACAGCTCTCCTCCAGAATTTTGACAGCCTTAGCCCTGAGGTTTAAATGACAACAGCAAGGTTATGGTTACAGTGGTTAGTTAATCTGACTTTTAAGAATTATCTAGATGGTAAAGGCTTGTATTACTACCCAACACGTCCTTCCGTTACTCATCATGACTGCATTATGGGTTTAGTTTCACAACACGGTAATGAGTTCATCCAGGCTTCTTGAATCATTTATAGGGATTTTCATTCCCTGTACCTTTTACAATTACTTTTTTTCCCCTCTGATTTTCCCTGCTGTGATTTTTTTTTTCTTATAAAGCCTGGTGTGCTCAAGGATCAGAACTTTTAAAATAAACTGTATCCATATTTTAATTTCAGTTTTCAGAACTTCATATTTTGAAGGAGCAAAACCTAATTTTACAGCCCACATAGGAATAAGTAACTACTTTAATAAAGCTCCATGCATTGATCTCCAAGCACCTCTAGGGAAAGGGGAAAACTGATGAAAGTTAAAATGATTGCGAGATTGACTCTTCCTGGTGGTCTGCAAATAGTCCCCGTCCTGGGGAGAAAGTACTCGAGGGCACCAGTAAGCAGGGCTGCGGGGCGCTCCCCTGGGTCGCGCCAAGGACTCGCTCTGACTTTGGACAAACCGTCTTTCCACCCGAGCCTCGGCACCCGCACAAGCTGGACTCCACGCTGACCTCAGGTGGGAGTCGCATTGTCAATCAGTGCCGGGAAGAGGCTCGGGCACTCTCCGAGGCCGCCGAGCTCCCCGGACTGCCGGCCGCGGAAGGGCCCCAGCGGCGGGGGGCTTTTCGGGGCTCCATTGTTGTGGCGGCGGGCCGGCGAGCACGGTCCTCCTCCGGGAGACGGGCACGGGAGGCCGGCCCGGCTCTCCCGGCCCCGCCCCCTCCCCCCGTGGGGGCTCCGGGGCAGTTACGGGCCCGGGGGCGGGGCCAAGCGCCCCGCGAGGCGCTCCCGCGGCCCCGCCCGTCCCGCGCCGAGCCAGCCCGTCCCGCGCCGAGGGTCCGCCGGGGGCGCGGGCCGCGGGGCTGGGGGCCGGCCGGGCCGGGGCGGCTCGCGCCTCCGCCCCCTCCGCCTCCGCCTCCGCCGCTGCCCTACTTCACTCGAGTTTAGTTTCACTCACTTTACATCCGGGTTTTTTCCCTAGGCAATGGGGGCCGCAGCACACCCCGTTCCTTAGGCAAAGTGAAATAAATTCGCCGCACCGCCCCGACAAGTAGTCCGCCCGAGCGCCGCCGTTAGGCCTCCTCCTCCTCCTCCTCCTGGCCCAGCCGGCCCTGCCGGGCCCAGGCCCAGGCCAAGGCGCGGCCAGGGAGGGAGAGGAGGGGGAGAGCCCCGCGCCCCCGCGCCCCGCTGTCAGCCCGCTCCCTCCAGCTCCCTCACTCTCTCCCGAGCGGCGGCGGCGGCGCGCGAGCACGCGCACGGCGGCAGCGGCGGGGCCGCGCGGCGGGCTCTCGAGCGAGCGAGTGTGCCTGGGCCTGGGCCTGGGCCTGGGCGGAGGGATCCCCGGGCTGAGGCGGCGGAGGTGCTGCGGCCCGGGGCCGGGTGGTGAATGGGCTGGTGGTGCTCGCTGCTGCTGCTGCTGCTGCTGGGAGGAGGAGGAGGAGGAGGAGGAGAAGGAGGAGGGGGGGGAGGAGGAAGAAGAAGAAGAAGAAGAAGAAGAGTTGGGCTGGTTGGTCTCTCACAGTTAGTCTCCCGCTGCTCGGGTTCTCCTCGGCCCGCCCCCTCCTCTCACTTCGGCCCCGGGCCTCTGTGAGAGTGAGTCTCCAGAAGGAGGAGGAGGAGGAAGAGGAGGGGGAGGAGGAGGAGGAGGAGGCTCCCGTCCCTCCCCCCGCGGCCCCCTCCTCCCCACCCCCCTGCCTGGGGAAGCGGAGGAAAGAAACAGCCCAGAGAGAGGAGTGAGGGAGTGAGTGAGGGAGTGAGAGTGAGGGAGAAGAGAGGAGGAGGAGGAGGGAGGGGGGGCAGCCTCCCATCTTAACACACTCGAGTATATTCAAAAAGTGAGAGGCCAGAGCAGAGCAGCAGCAGCAGCAGCTCCAGCGCCTTCCTTCCCTCCCTCCCTCCTTCCTTGCTTCCCTCCCTCCCTCCCTCTCTCCCCATGAAGAAGAGTCCCCTCCTCCTCCTCCTCCTCCTCCTCCTGCTGCTTCTCCTGCTCAGAGTTCCTGCCTCCAGCTGCCAGGGGGACAGCCAGCCAGCAGCAGGAGGGTGCAGTATCCCAGCTTTTCCATTCTCTCTCTCTTCTCCTCACTCTCTGCTCTGCTCTTTTTTTTTTTCTGGAGTAGCTGTTTCTCCTCCCTCCTCTCCCCTCCTCTCTCTCTCTCTCTCTCTCTCTTCTCTCTCCTCTCTCTCTCTCTCTCTCTCTCTCTCTCTCTCTGTCTTGTCTCTGGTGTTCGTCTCAGGGAGATGCAGGGGCTGCTTGCTGGGAGTTTGTTGGGGTGGTGAGGGGGAGGGGAGGGGATGGAGCAGGGAGGGAGAAGAGGGGGGGCTCTTATCAGGGCCCCTGGAGTCAACTTGGGATTTCAGGAAGAACTTCCCCGGGGGGGGCGCCCCTCTCGGTGTCCTTCCTCTCCTCCACCGCCCCCCCCAAAGACAATGGAAAAATCTTGTCTATTTCCCCAGCCCCCTTCCCCTCCCCTCCCCTCCCCCCCAGGATGAATTGGAAGTAAGTTTATGAGCAGCCTGGGGAGCGGGGGAGCTGCGGGCAGGGCCGCCGAGGGAGGGGGGCTGGCCCCCCCCTTCGCGGGGGGAGGGCCGGACCGGGGGGGGGTCACGTTGTCCGGGGGGCGGGGGCGGGGGGGTGCCGGGGAGCTTCATTCTCTGCCCTTTGGTTTCCCCCAGGCTGATGATTGTTTCCTTTTCTCTCCCATTCTCCTCCCTCGATTGGAGGGGGGAAGTTTGGAGGAGGAGGAGGAGGATGGGGACCATTTTTTTTTTGGAAAACCATCTTGTTTGGCGGCCGAGAGATCTGGTTCAAAAAAAAAAAAGCTGCGGCTGCTGACGCCGTCGGGCTCGCGTGTGTGTGAGTGTGCGAGTGTGAGTGTGCGCGCGTGTGAGTGAGTGTGAGCGAGTGTGTTGGTGCATTTGTCTTTGGGGGCCGGGGCCGCGGCGCTGGGGAAATTCCGCTCCTTATTCTTCTTGGGCAACTTGTTATTCTGAAGAGTGAGCCTGCACCCCTCACCCGGGGCCGGCCTCCCCGCAGCCCCGCGCACGCACGCACGCACCCGCGCGCGGACCGCAAGCACTCCCGCGCCCCCCGCCCCGCCGCCGGGGGGGGCGGGGGAGGGCGCGGGGGAGGGGCCGGCTCGGCTCGGCGTGCGGGACTCAGGCTGCTCCCGCCCCGCGGCGCCCGCACTTGGCAGCACTTCTTGCTCGCCATCCCCGGGCTCGCTCTTTATGCTGCCCGCCGGGCCGGGCCGGGCCGAGGTGGCCCTCAGGGGGCTGGGGGGGAGCTGGACGGAGAGCCCCGGCCCCCCCCCCCCAGGCTGCGGCGGAGAGGCCGGGAGCCCGAGGGGTCCTCAGGAGTTAGTTGTAGAGATTGAGGGGCACGCAGGCAGGCGGGCGGCGAAGGGGAGGGAGGGAGGGTTTGTTTTCTTGGGTGAATCCGTGTCATCACATCCTGGTCAGATGTTGAAATATTCTTTGTTTGGGTCCCCAACTAGTGGGGCTCCTCCTGCACAGCCCCTCGGGAATCCCAGGGCTGGGGGTGCGTCGGGAGCTTGTGTGGGCCTCAGCACCGGCCTTGACACTGAACTTGGGGCTGCTTTTGGTGGGGTTTGGCTTATCTCCTCCCTTCTTCTCCCTGAGAGCTTGCTGGCACTGTGGATGCCTGAACTGGGGGCAGTTAGATGGGCAGGGGCCAGGGCATGTTATCTGAGTCATTTAGAGCCGAATTGTACGATGAGATTAATTCTAACTAATGGAATTCCGGTTGTTTTTTTTTTTTTTGCCCCGTAGGGAGAACTTACCTAGGTGCACGTCACAGAGGTGTCAGAGGGTAACAAGGTGGGACATTCTTTCTGTTGGTTTGTTTGTTTTTATAAAGAAGGTAGAAATCCTAGTTGAGTAAAATTCCTTGTCTTCCAGGAGTGTATCTTAAGATGACTGAAATTGAGGACTTTGAAAACATTGAAAGGCACTTTTCAGCATTTGCACCTTTAGCTTAAATTTGGGATCGACTCAGTTTGGACAGTGAAAATAAATGGGTCAGCTTCACTTGTTTTTTGAAGAGAAGCCCAGGATTTTTTTTTAAAGTTTTACAGTTTGGTTCCTAGAGTTGTAGGGAGCTGTTACTACGTATTTGTTGAAAATGCTATAATTTATTTTTTAAATCTGATATTCCTCCTTAGTTGCTCTCCTTCATGGGAATTCTTCATTGTGGGCCTAAAACTGATTTATTAATGACCACGTAAAGTCCTAAGAAAGCATCTTTAAATCTTGGGCATGTCTTCTGAAGGAGGAATAGTTGGTTGAACTCATGTTTATCAATGAAATTTCTGTGCTGAAGACTACATGAGGTTTAAAACTGTGCTGAAAGACCTTTCTGATAGTAGTTTAAACATAACAATTCTAACTGGCACAGTGAGCAAACTCATCAGGAACATTGTAGCTTAAGACTTTGTTTTCTTTCTTACAAATGTGGTAATGTTTGTAATGTGAGTGGTGTTACCCAATGGGGCCTTCTCACAATAAAATCTCTTCTGGTTGAGTGTTGCTGAAGAGTTTTTAAAAGTTATGTGCAGGGTAAGCAAGTAGTACTCACAACTCAGACCAGATTGCCTTCTTTTTCAGATTTCATGGACCTGGAGGTAAAGGACTTTTGAGAAAGGACCTCTTCATGGGCCTACGGAAGCCTCAGTGGTGAAGTGGTCCTATTTTTCCCACTTACTACATTGTCCTCTCTGCTGCCATCCTGGAATCATCCATGTGGGTAACTGCTTCGGAGATAGAGGCCCACTCACCTTGTGTGGACAGCTCTCAGTTCTGCCCAGTAGGAGGTGCTGCAGCGACAGAAGGCCATTTCTTCTGCTGAATTTTGAGCTTGGGCTTACCACTTGTGTTCGGAGTCTGGGCCCGAGGAGTGACAGGTTAACATTCAGCTCAGAGTTCCAGGAGTGCCTTCAGTAAGTCCATTTATGATTCCATTTCTAAGTGAGGCGAGGCTGTGTTGGAATGGAAGCCTCGACAGTCTTTTGTGGAGGGATGGCTTGAAGAAGGCGGGCCACTTCTCCACATGTGTACGTTGCATTGTTTCTATTCTTGAGGTGTTGATGGAGTTGGGGTGCTGAGCCTGCGTGGCACAGTTGTTCACAGAGAACGTGCACAGAAATAGTTCACTTCAGGGTCGCCAAACTTTGACGAGATTCCTGGGATCAGTCATTTTCTCATAGCAACATTTGCAATTGATGACTGGAGTTTCAGGCCTGGGACTACTTATCCCTTAATATTCCTATTAACAGACTGAAGGGCACTGTATTTGGAATTGGTAATTGTAGCGTATGGAGATATTTCAGTCTCTTTTTGGGTGGGGTGGTTCTCCAAATTGGAAAAGTACCATGGTGGATAGATGCAAGGGGTAGTCCACTTCTTTTACATTGGCCTCCAAAGGCCTTAAGTCAGGCTGTGGCAGTGGGGCTAAGTCAGTGCAGACGTTGTTCACAGAGTGTGGCTTGTGGACATAACTGGGCTACAGAGGAAAAGGGCTTCATACGTTCAGAGTGTGTGGTCGTCCGAAACTCCCCGATGGTGAAGGGAATTTGTATCTTTGGAAGTTAGTTGCCATTGCTCGTGAGGTCCTACACAAAACTTTTTTAAAACTTAAAAGGTTTGTGAAGGTTTTCAGAAGTTAACTGGGCTAAATTCCTAGATAGACAGCTCTTGAAGCTTGACACTGGACGAAGACTTCTGGGACATGTGTACTTCGTGGCTGTCATACTTGGTGACAGACTGCCCTGTGATCTGTTGATTGTCTCTTTTTGCAAGAGAACGCTGGAACCAGGTCGCTACTGGTTTAGAAAAGAATGAATGCCTGGGAGAATTGGGTCCTGGATGGGTGGGTAAAGTTACAGGGACTATACTATGGTGTTTTGTTTTTGTTTTTTTTTAAAGATACTTGTTTAAAGAAAGCTCTCAGTGTGTTTTTGTAGTTAAAAACTGCTGTCACTTTCTTTTGGAAGTTTGGCTGTGATGTCTTTTCCCCTTGTTAAAATTTGCTTTTCCTTTTGCCCCTCTAAAAAGAAATATGAGAACACGTGCATGCTCAGTCGTTGGTTGTGGTGGAAAGTGCTTTCTAAACCTTACGATGCTGTCTGCATCACCGGGAGGGATGGCTCTTGCTGGTACTGTAGGTCTTCGGTTTGGGTCGTTGGTCTCCCCTTTGCTGCAGCCCCGGGTTGTAGGGGGCTTGGGTATCTCTCTGCTGCTCCCACATTCTTTCTAATGTTCACACTAGCAGGTGTCATCACATAACATGAGGCTCCTAAAGGCGTTTTCAATATCACCTTGAGTTTTGATTTGCCCAGAACTTTTCAAAAAACTCTGTGACAGAAACTTTCAAGCCTGTTTTAAATAAATTGTGTGTCTGATATGTCTGCGTATGGGGTTTGTTGTTGTAGTTGTTGTTGTTTTTCCTTCTTTCGGAAGAAAGCAAGAAATAAATACCTGTCTAAAAGGTGGGGGTGGGGGCAACCCTTAATTTTTATCCCCTATTGGATATTTTTGTAGAGAAGTAACTTAGAGTTGAAAGTTGAAAGCTTTGAACTTTGTGGTTTTCTCTGTGGGCCAAAGTGCCTGAGTTTAAAGACTTTTTGAAAATAAAAGTAATTGTGTATCAATATACGTGAGACTGTGTGAAAGTTATATCCTTCATATTAGGAAATTTGGCCAGGTGGAGGAAGGTTCTATTTAAAGGTGAAGAACAAAACTAAATTTCGAAGAGCAATATTCACTTGCCTGTATCATGCTCCTTTTGAAGGATTGGCTAAAGTTATAGTCTATTTTATCTTCAGCATTTTATTGTCCTGTAGATGTTTTCATTTAATCATTATTTGAGGGGCAAAATAGAAGTAAATGAAGTTTTAAGCCTAGAATCTTTGGATAGAATCCTTTTTTATGCAAGTACAGTTAGATTTAGTTTCCTTTATGTAGGTGAATCTACAGGTTAGTTTCTAGAGAGTTGTGTTGCTTGTTCAGGAACTTGTGTTGTATTAATACTTACGTATTGCTAGGTTTTATTTAAAACCCCAAAATAGATTTTGCCAATACCACCTTTGTCAGAGGTCTGGGGCTTTTTTTTTTTCTGCTTTGAGAATTCATAGAGGGAATGTGTTAACACTGCATGCAGCTTATTATAAAACAATTATTTCTCAAAATAGCTTCTTTTTTGCTTTGTATATTTTTCTGTGGTAGTATTTTGTAAAGTTTTCCTATTCTTCTGAGGCCTATTTGGAGCCCTTATTTAATAATTCTTCTCCGCGTAGGAATGCTGACCTATAATTTTTAGACTAATTTCTAAATTACTATTTCATTAGCCCAATAATCTTAAAGAAGGGGTGGTGATCCAGATGTTATAACTGTGAGCTGTTAATGCACCAATCCATGCAGTTCTGAGTTGGGATGTGAATGTAACCTCATTCTTCCCTATCCTTTAGACTTTGGAAGTTTACTTTTAAAAACTGGCTAGTTTAGCCCTCTGAAAACTATTCCAGGCCTCTGACTCGGAACTTGTTATGGACCTAATTCTGTGGCAGAATCCTTTTCAGAGTGAACTGCTTCATGGGGAGAGAGGAAGGGGATGGGGCTTAACAGGTTGGTGATCTAGGCTTTTGTTTTGTAACTGTTTGTGAGCTTGTTGGTGGGGGGGGAATCACTTAAACACAGTAGCCAGAAAGATGAGTTTTGTTTTATTGTTTTGGCTGCATTGAGAATACAAACTGTCAGTTCTTGAGAAGGAGCGGCAGAAAAGAATTGATTTTTTTCTCTACTGCAGATCCAAGTATTGTTAACCATGTGCATCTCTGAAGCATCCTACTTAGAAACTAAGCAGCAGTTGATCTGTTCAGTCAGTCAGCTATCAGAACCAGCAACTGTTTTTTAAAAACTCAGACTTAAAAATAATCATAATAATCTCTGGATAAACTGGGGGATGGTAACCATAGCAACCACTGTCTCAGGCCTTATGGACAGTGGTTTGGTAATATTGATGAAGCTTCAGACCCTTTGGTAGCCAGTTATATTCACTTGTATGGAGAAATGGAGGCCTGGGTGCTTTGGGTGACTGGAGTTGAATTGTATCTTATCTATAGGCTAGCTTACCTTTTTCTTTTAAAAATTTCATGAACTTGATTCTGTTGCCTGTTGTGGAGGCGTTGCTACATGTGAAAACTGCATGGGGCTTCCTGCCTAAAGTTTTACTTAGTTTCACAATAGTTGTTGTGTCTTGGTCCTCATCTTGTGGAGTTCTTGTTTTGTTGTTGAGGATAGGGTTGGGCTGGGACCTGTGCTGCCGCTGGGGTCAGGAATGCACTTTGTGGAAATCACCTGGTGCTTATTTTGTATGTACTTAGGGAGGCACATGTTGTCTCTCTCTATAGAATGTGAGCTGTCTGAGGAGGAGTGCTTCTTTCTTGTCTTTGTACCCTCAGCAACTGTCCCGAGGCCTGGCACAGGATAACGACAGCGTAATAAGTGTTCCGTGATTGATTGATGGGGACTCCCTCAGTCTGGACTGCTGGAGGGCACTGAGAGGTTATGTGGGGGATGGGGGTAGAGGGCATGGCCTCGGGCTTTTCTGAATCTGAAGCCAGGCTCTCTGTTCAGCAGGCTCATTATCGGGGGTGGGCATGGTAATCAGGTGATTTATGTATCTTTTGGGGGATGATTCCCAAAAGTGAGTTCTGGTAGGAAACACAGTAAATAACATTTTTTCAAAGTATATTTCCAAATTGACTAAGTTAGAAGCTGCTGTATTTTGGGCCTTGCAGGGGGCAGAAAAACCCCAAAACTTGAAGCATTTTCTCCTCTTTTTACTTGCTACATTATTCCATGTGCCTGTTTTGACACTATTTTGTATGTGAAACACACTGATCCAGATATTGCGTTTTACAGATCGCGCTTGACAGTAATCTCTACGATGCCCCAAAAGAGAGAACAGAGTAGTCCCTTCTGACTAGATCTTGTCAAGCCTTGAGAAATGGTCCAGACTTCCTTGAACTTCTAGTAGGATGCTATGGCCTGTGTACTACAAATCCCAGGATGCAATGCACTCTTTTATTTGTCATCTGATGAGAGCATTGCATGCTGGGATTTGTAGTTACTTCAAACTGCTTAGGCTACTCTTCTCACATTGTAGTTCATTTAATGAAAATTGGGGCAAAGCCCAAGGTTCTTTGAAAAGCAGTAATCACTTTCATTTGAGTGAACTTCGATTGTTATTGTTTTATATGTTAAACGATTAAACGACAATGAATATTTAAAAATAACATTTCCTTTAGTTTTAGATTAGCTTGATTTTTACCAGCTTCTTTTAGAATTTATGATGATGAGTTGTAGACACAGATTCATGATTTTCGAATTAGGGCTCTCCAGGCTTTATGTTAAATAACCTTGGAGTTCTAGCCTCAGGTGCTTATTAAATGGTTTTGGAGTTGAAGATACTGTGGACAGTGCTAGAATCAGGGGGTCTTTATCACTTGTATTGCAGTATTGATTTTGGCAATGTCCTATACCTGGCTGTTTCCACCTTTCGAGCAATGGCATTATAGGTTGATAGTCAAAGATGAACTAAAACACTTCTGGTGTGCCAGGATTCAAGTATGCAGTTGCTTGTTTCTCCTGTAATTGTCATTAGCGTCGCGGACACTTGTGATAGTAGATGGACATACATATTGTTGAAAGTGATTAAAATGTTATTTGCAGTCATGGAAATATACAACCCAGAAGTTTGGTCTGAATGGTAGCCATGGGGGTGGAGGATGCTTGGTTTCTTCAATTTCCTGCTTGTATATACATGTATAAATTTTAAGTTTGGCTAACTTTGAAGTGGGCCAGCTTTTTTGCCTCATTAAAAACAACATTTTAAATGCAAAACCTATACACAGACCTTGGAGTCAGAGGACCCGGGTTC